AATTTTTTTCGGAGCTAACACATTCAGACTACATGCCGTCAATTGCATTGCGTCGTGTTCGTTTTTTATCTCTCCTAAATCAAACATACTCACATTCATATTTTACCAATATCTTTTTGTAACTTACCTGACGCTCTTATTCAGCATTATTCCCATAGTTGTTGTATAGGTAGCCGCCGTAGTATTGTCAGTTGAATATCCGTAATCTTCGCTAACGCTTGTCACATCGTTCTTCCGTAGAACTATTCCTACATAAATGGTGCTTACAATTATACACAAACCGACGGTAAGTAACAGCCAGGCGGTAATTTGTATGCAAATGTTGCTGGACAAATATGCTTTCCAGTCACTGTTTTGGAAAAAATTTTATTACGTGTATATAAGTACGTATGTACATACATATGTTTGTGACCAGTTAAATAATTAAAAATATATACAAACTTACTCTTCAACAAGTTGCACTTGTTTTTTATACATTTCCGAGTCCCTTGTGCACTGCTTCCGCTTTGTTTTAACAGGTGCATCCTTAATTTCAGCTTTTAACATTGTCAGTCCGAAATCCGTATAATACTGAGGTTATTATTGAAAAGATCCTATATTAAATAATACGCACATATGCAAACTTGTTTGATTTTATCAGAGCCCACCACTTCAGGGTATGTCATAAATTAGCTTTTAGTCGTTTTATCTATTCTACCCCATATCATTTTATCAATTTGAATGCTTATCCACGTAGTGTATAATAAATTAACATTTTATCAAGCTGGGAGTACAGGTGATAGCAAGTAATTGTTTATAAAGCAGCATTAGGGACTTGTCCTACCTTTCAATTTGACAGGAAATATTTTTAACTAATTAAAAAAATATATGTCCATATTTATCGCTCACACTTTCGCTAAGTGTTTGGCCGATCTTGTGATGTGCGTACTGATATTGTAACATAAAAGGTGAAATCTTCAATTAAAATCTAATTTTGAACGAATTTCCGTCATCCCTTGTCAAATTTGGTTTGGAGACAAACCGGTTACGGCGTTGTGCCATCTTCTGTGTAATTTTTCGTATGAAAA